TGAGGCACAAAAGGCTTTTCTATTAGTTTGTAGAGACTGAGTGTGCAGAGCTACCAGCTGGGAAAACACCCGTACTGGACTCCAGTGCAGTAGTGAGCAAAGGAAAAAGCCAGGAGCACTCACGTCACCGTGTGGTGTGGCGATCCCCAGGCCCGTCCCTGCAGGGCCGCACGGTGCTGGGCTGTGCTGTGCCAAATGGGCAGAGCAGCTCAGGACAGCGCAGCAGCCCTCGTGCCACCTCACTAGCTGTGCTGGAGTGCTGACCTGAGCCTCCAGCACCTGGAGATGTCTGGCTCCCACTGCGCTGCTGGTGACACATGGCTGAAGCCTGCTTGCTTCTACCCGTGGTGCAGATGAGCATGAATGTGTTGTCTAAAGACTTCCGAAATGCCTGCTTTAGCCAACAGAAATGAGGGGTAGGGGTATGGATCACATTAGCAGTGAGATCCAGACAACGTTGGCTCCTTTTCACACACACACTGGTACTTTTTTCCAGACTCTGACAGCGAGCAGAGCTGCATCACAACGCTGTGGAAGGTTGTCCGAAGATGGGTGGAGTTGTAACTTACCCCTGGCAGAGCGTGCCAGAGGCACTGTCAATAGCATGGAGCTGTGGGCTTTGCAAGTTGGTGTAACAAGTGGCTTGTCACCTGGCAAGTGAGCCGCAACTGGGAACCCATTAATAACACTGCACATTGCTGGGAATCTTCAGTCCCAGCCGCAGCATGTCTGGTGACATCCTGCAGTCACTCTAACCTTTATCCAGGCATTTGTCTTGTTCATTAGGAAGCCATTGTGTCACTCACAGGACTGCATTTCGGTAGGCAATAGGAAGGAATTGTTGAGACCCAGGGAAGGAGGTTATGTATTCATAGATTCATTCATAGATTTCTAGGTTGGAAAAGACCTTAGAGATCATCGAGTCCAACCATCCCTAATCCCCATTAAACCATATCGCTAAGTAGATCATCCACCCTATTCTTAAACACATCCAGGGATGGGGACTCAACCACCTCCCTGGGCA